CTCCAGGTAATATGACCCTGCACTACTATCCCTAACAGACAAACCTTGTAAGAGGTGTTGACAGCTTCAATATCAAACAGATAAATAGCAAACAACTGCACTGAGGATTGAATTATTATGATATATTATTATTATATTATTTTGATAGCAGGTAATTTTGTTTTGGTTGAGGTTTTACTATCAAAGTGCAAGCTGCCCTCTTTGTTGATATTTGAAGGTCAGTCTTTTCCTGTATCTCATTTTATTGTTATTTCTCATTTTGTGTAACTATTTACATGTCTCCTTTTATAGCTCACCTGAGCCGAAGGCTCAAGTGAGCTTTTCTGATCAAAGAATGTCCAGTGTCCGTCTGTCATCTGTAGTCCATAAACTTTTCACATTTTCGACATCTTCTCAAGAACCACTGGGCCAATTTCAACCAAACTTGCCGTAAAGCATCCTTGGGTGAAGGGGATTTAATTTTGTTCACAGGAAGTGCCGCACCCTCTTTCAAGGGGAGATAATTAAGAATGCGTGAAATTTTGGTGGCATCTTTTAAAAATCTTCTTCTCAAGAACCACTGGGCAAGAAAAGATTAAACCTATGTGAGAGCTTCATTACATACTGTATATTTTAGTTTGTTCGTATCATGACCCCCGGGGGTAGGGCAGGGCCCCAAGAGGGGGTCAAAGTTTTACATAGAAATATATAGGAAATGTCTTCAAAAATCTTCTTCTCTAGAACAGCAAAGCCATGATTAGTCATATTATAATAAACGTATCCTCAGGTAGCGTAGATTCATGATTTGTTCCAATCATGATCTCTGGTGGGGTTTAAAGTTTTACATAGTTTTATATTGGTTTAATGGTTAACATTTAAAATGAACTGAATTAAATGTAACTCATTTTGCTTTTGTCAGCAGATAGGAATCTAAAATTACACCTTGGCATTGTTTATAATTTGGTATCAATAAAAGAATTACAGTAAAAGCACACCTAATAAAAAGTTCATCATTATTCAGGAATGTCCACTGGGATATACTTTTAACAACAAACATAAGCTGTAGTGAAAAACTGATAAGATTATAAGTAACTTTTTGCATCACATCTTTATGATCAGATAATGGCCCTGAGACCATAAAACTTAGACAAGCTCACTTTTGATCTCAGTCTCACTTTCCCACTATTAATTCCCTTGGTAAAAGTGAGACTGAAATCAGAAGTGAACTTGTCTAAATCTTATGGCCCCCAGAGCCTGGGGTCTGTTTTACAAAAGAACTTACGACTAAGACCAATATTTAATTCTGCTTATTACTTTTTCTTTTACATGAATTTGAGAATGATTTTAATCTTTTTTAAAAGAATTCAGAAAGAAAGATATTTTTATGCTAGCAATTTCAAACAGAATCATTAACTTTGCAAAATTTTACAACCAACTTAAGATTTTGGTCTTAGTCGTAAGTTATTTAGTAAAACGGGTCCCTGATTTTTCAATGGACAATAACCTCTCTGGATATTTCAAACCATGGACATTTTTGCAGGAAAAACTTCTTAGACATTCTTCAAATTAGGGCAAATAATGCTCATAAGACTGTTTAGGTCTGTTTCACAAAAGAACTTATGACTAAGACAAAATATAATTTTTAGATTAACTTTCTTTTTAACATTGATTTGAAAAATGGTTTTAATCATTTATAAAATTAATTTATATACATAATTTTATTCGAGCATTTTTTTAACAGAATCACTGATTTTACAAGATTATATTATCATCTAAAGTGTTTGGTAAAACATGCTCCTGGTTAATATTGTAAGGATTTTTTGAAAATAGTACCTAAGTTAATTGAAGTATATAATAGCATTGTACCCACTAGGAAAAATATTTTAAGCAACATCAAAGATAAAATGAAATAAATTTTAATGTAATGATTAAAAAAAAAATTGAAATTTTTTTGTCCATTGTAGCAATCCATGTTATTTTATTAACAGAATCAAGTTGGCAACATCCTGCTGGAGTCTTCTTTTTAAAACAATTAGTACCAAATACATTTCAGCATATCGTTATGGGGATGCATTCTTTTAAAGTTCCCATACTACAATTAAATGAATTCTGTCAGAAAGTTGTCACCACTGTATATATCAAACTGCTGCATCAGTAATACATTTAATGGTTGATAGACTGCATGTGATGCCTTGATCAGCAAAGTACAAAGAAAGCAATAATTCAACAGTAAGGATGTAATAAAATGTTTTAAATATATTTTAGTTTTACTTATTATAGATATATTTTTTGTTCCGAGTCACATTTATAAAATGAAAAGATTTTCTTTGATCAAATATTGGTGAAACTAATTATAGGTAGGAATGAACACTGCCCACTCCCCAAGAAACAAAGGTAAAAATTTAAAGAGTGAATAATGCATCACACAATGTGTACATCAAAATATCAAAAATAACTACATGAGCTGTTGAGTTTATTTCCATAAATATTTTCCTTTTTATATCTTATACTAGTAATTAATCCTTGACATTTAACTTTGATAGACCCAATTGACAAATACATGTAGGCTATACACCTAGATTCTGTAGCATTTCCCCCAATTTAACCAGAAAAAGGTATATTTGTAATTTGTTAATATAAACAAATCAAGAGGAATGAATTACAGAAAAAAAAATAGTGACCTTCAAATATCAACAAAGAGGGTTGAATGCACTTGAAAAGTAAAGCCTAAAAAAAGGTTATTAAATAATGTGTTTTTATAATTCAATTGTTGTCATCAGTTCCGCAGTGCAGTTGTTTATTCTCTATCTGTTTGATATTATAAAGCTGTCAACACCTCTTACTAGGTTTGTCTGTTTTGGATAGGTGATCAGGGTCATATCTCAGCTTAGTTTAGATATTGTTAATGTATTACCTAGTCTTTGTTTTAAAAAAAGCATTTCTGTTTGACATTTAAAGGTCAAAAATTTTTTGGCTGCACAGATTTCTTTTGTTCCTTATATTATTCTTGTTACGCAAATCCAAAATGACATTGCAGGGGAGAGATTGTATGCAAAAGAAATTGTTTTGTTCTCAAACTGTCTGTACTGTTATAATATAGGGAGTACTCCACTCCACGACTCCACAAGACTCCACTCCACTCCACTCAGCTTTTTACCCCAAGCCATGTCCTCTATGGGTGACCACGGCATTCAATATATTCGGTTACAATTACTGCAAGATTGCTCCGTAAATCTGTGGCAAACGGAAGCACGGTTAACCAAATAATGCTAAAGCACTTGGTGACTTCTAAGCGATATGACAAACAAAGCATTCTTCATTAATACAATACAATCACTGTTCCAACCTCACTGACCGCCATTGGTAGAACTACCAAATTTATATCAGTGGGAAAAAAGTGTTATCAGCTTCGAATTTTTATGCAAGAAAGTCATTTTGGAAGTCTTGTGTTGACACCATGACATCGGCAAATCCGACTGCATTAACCAATATCGAATATTATATTTACTCGTGTCGACTAGGTTTATTTTCTGTTTGCATATGAGAATACTGAGTTGTGCGTTAGCAATTTAGTCTAGTGTATATGTCTAACATGTACTTTAAGTATGCTGTAAATTTCTGCGTAAATAAATACTATGCATAAAAAAATTCTACAGTATGCTATCAAGTCTATGTTTTTTTATCAGGTGAAAGACTGCATGATTTACTCATTAGCGTGGATGAAAACTATTGTGGTTTCTTCAAAGGACCCGCCGCTAATGGAGACCGTATACTTTTTCTCTGTTCGTCCGGAAGTAGAGGGAGGATCGTCACACTCATGATCAAAAGCAAAGAGGTAGAGGAAGACATTATAAGTGTGTGTGAAGTACAAATATTTGTCGGTTTATAAGAAACCATGTAAGATTCATTCGGCTTGAATATCTAGGTATGCACAAGAATAGCATTCATGATAATAAGAGTAACATATTAAATATTATGAGTTTGTAAAGTATACGTGTTTACTAGTATTTAACAAAAACCTATGAGATTTGGTTTTGACGTAAGACGATCGGGATTATTTTTCTTTATAATGAATATAATACTATAAAATAATTTTTAAAGGTTATAGTTCATATGTTTGTTATTACCTTTTACATAAGCTTATTTTATTTGATTTGTTTTGAAGTTTTTTTTTAAAGAAAACAATGATTTTGTAAATACACATGTATATTTTTGCATGTTTTGCAGTCATGCATGTAAGCGCAGATGTTTATGTAAGATAAGTAACATGTATAGCTTAATTTTCAAACAAGAAACTTACAGATATTGAATATGTAATGTAATTGTATGATAAGTTAATGTTTATTAATGTCATGTACATTAATATCTATTTCATTTTAATTAACTTCTTCATAGCAAATCAAGATTTAAGACTACCAGTTTCAAAAATATTTTAATAAACAATTGGCTATCACATTAAGGACAACGCATTATACCAAGTTTCAATGGCGGCAAAAATGCCAGAGAAACAAATGAACATGGCGTTTTAATCTATATGTTAGTGGGAGAGCAACAAATATAAAATTTACGCTGTACATGTACATATATTAATTAAAATGTATTACTTAAAGATATATTTTTTTAGCAATGATAATGATTTTACTAGTTCCTTGATATATGCATTTGTATAAACATTCAAAGGAAAACTATCTACCATTCTCCAATAATAATTAAACTATAATAAAAGAAATAAGTACGTAATAGGAACAAAATGGTAAATACCTTTGTTGAAATTTTTTTCTGTAGTGATATCATGACTTGTTTATCATACATTGCTTGTATCTATCATTTTCGTATGTTTCTTGAATATAAAAAAGTACATTGTAGCTATTTGTTTAAATCACTTGAGTCATCAAAATAAAAAAGTTCATCAAACCAAGCTGAAAGAATGCACATATTTTTGTGTTTACATATTGGATTCACGGTTGATTAGGTAAGATACCCAGTATGCATCACGGGTAACCTTCGAAAAGAGAAGTGTGATAAAACGTTTTTTTCTTATCTATTTCAATTGTTATATACCTTTAGCAGGTAAAGAAACGGTACACCACACCAATGCCTTGGTATAAAATTTAAAGGGATATATGTCAATTTTTGACAAACGTGCACTCTAACAACAAAACAGTCTATGAACTGGTTAAAAATGGCGACTTTGGTGAATATATTACCGACATTGATTTTAGCAGCTCTTTTTGCTTGTTCAGGTAAGTAATATAGCAACATTTATTAATTTCTTTGTAACATTGCCATGATTTACATACAGTACTCACAACAGGTTTAGATTAATATACATGTATCTACATTTTATGCATGCTCTTTTCCTTTTATCGTATGTTTTCAAAACAGAAGTCTAAAAATAACTTTAAAGATATCCATTAAACTATACTACTTTGGATATGATAAAATACAGTAATCAAATAAGTAGATTTAAACAGAATGTTTAAAACATATGAACAAGTTTCATGTTTGAACGTAGAATAGTTCCATGACAAATTTAATAAAACCCATGGATAAATATATTGGTAAATATATTTGTTTCTTTTTTGTTTTTCTATCTTTCCTCCAAACGAGTGACTGCCCTTTTCGCCTGCGTGAACTTTCTTCCTTTTGTAGAGACATTAGAAGCTCACTCATGATAAAATATCAAAAGTTAGTAAGAGGATGACTGCTGACTCTAAAGTAAGGTCATTAAAAATCAACTTAATTTCACATGGCTCCAAAGTGGCTGCTTCTTGTTAGACTATAATTTTGTATTGGAGGAATGAAAGACACGCATATTTAACACAAATACTAATTAACCATAGAATGCAACATGATCATTTGAATGACGTTAAGGCCTAAGATAAGGATTTCCAGACATGGTCATATGATTTAGATAAGATTTTTCAGAATTATACATATTTCAAACCGGTCAAAGGGGTTTGCTTTCTCGTCCATGGCACCTGCACCTGCATCTAATGTGTGTAGATATTTCCTCTGCTCTCAATTTGTTTTGTTTAGTAGGTCTTTAGAGCATGATTTTTGTTCGATACCTTTACATTTTATTGCAGATACTTACTCTTGATACTTAAGGTAATGTTCTTGATGAATTTATGCTTGGGGGGAGTCAAGACTGTTTATTGTAGCATTTTTAAGCAGATTTCTTTGTAGGCACATTTTGAAAAGTGGTTGTTTTGAGGTTAGTATATGATGTGAGACCTCTGGTTAACCGGGTTTTTAAATGCAATATTAAGGTAATGAATAGTAATCATGCTCAAAAGAATCAATAAAAATTGTCAGCAGAGCAAGTACGAACCTATCAGAGATGGATCAGGTACCAGAGATAAGTAAGCAGCCCCTGTCGACGGGTCACGCCAACCGTTCTCTCATTTCCATGATCGGGTAAACGGAGAAGTCTATAGTCTGTTCAGTATGAAAATAATGGCTTTACGTTTGTATGAAAGATGTTAGACAACTTTCGACCTAACAGCAAAATGTATTTGAAAGCAAGGTCATTGTTTCGACTATAGAATTTGACTCAAGAACGACAAAGCCATGATTGGTCATATTCACATGGTAGCATCCTCAGGTAGCTATAGTGTAGATTCAAGTTTGTTCAAATCATGACCCCCGGGGATCGGGTGGGGCCACAATGGGCGATCAAAGTTTTACATAGGAATATATAGGAAAAATCTTATTCTCAAGAACAGCAAAGCCATGATTGATCATATTTACATGGAAGCATCCTCAGGTAGTGTACATTCAAATTTGTTCAAATCATGACCCCCGGGGATAGGGTGGGGCCACAATAGGCGATCAAAGTTTTATGTAGGAACACATAGTAAAAATCTTTAAAAAAAACTATTTCTTAAGAACAGCAAAGCAATGATTGGTCATATTTATATGGAAGCATTCTTAGATAGTGTACATTCAAGTTTGTTCAAACATGACCCCCCGGGGGGGGGGGGGGTCGGGTGGGACCACAATGGGTGATCAAAGTTTTACATAGGAATACATAGGTTAAATCTTTAAAAATCTTCTACTCAAGAACAGCAAAGCCATGATTGGTCATATTTAAATGGAAGCATCCTCAGATAATGTAGATTCAAATTTGTTCAATTTATGAACCCCCCCCCCCTCCCCGAGCCACTTTATATTTAAACTTTCAACCTTTCAAGACTGAACTGATTTCTGCTCTTTCCTAGCCATAGTGCTCAGGTGAGCGATGTGGCCCCTGGGCCTCTTGTTATTATCATCATTATTATTTCATGAATAGAGGATTGCCTAAATAAGCATTAAAGGTGGTCTGCTTCGAAGATGAATTAAAGGGTCTTGTTAACAATGTCACAAAATGATCATGATTTAAAGGTTAGTTGTTTGTTCATCCAGGGTTGGAAAATGGACTTTTAATCCAGACACTAGTTTTGCACTTTGTGATATTTAAAAAAAATCTAGTTTTTTTTAATTTGGTTTTAAGCATTCAGTATATTAAACTAATAATCAGTAATATGATTTTGATTTTTTTCATGATAGATCAAAATGTTTGATAACGAATTCAGTAAAGAAAAATCATTCTTCAATAGTAAACAAAATATACAAAATAAGGGGGAAGATGGACATCGTTAGAACCATTTTTTGACGTTTTTGAACAAAAATACTAAATAATTTACAGTCAAATCCAACATTACAAGGTAAAATCTTTACTGGAAGTTTACTCTTCAAATATATTTTCTATTTTGTGTGTGTTGTTTTTCAATTTTTAGATACCGTGTTAGCGGAGACGACATGTTTTATCAATGATTTACTGGACACGGCATCTTGTCCTGGTCCCTGTTGTGCTGGGAGATGTTGCGAGTATGTATTCTTTTCAGACCTGACACTCAATCGTAGCTATAGACCCTTAATTAGAAGATCCTGCATATATTAATTAATGCTGTCAGTTCAAGCTGCAGTTAGGGGATAAAATCATTAACGTGTAGAACGTAATTTAATCTCTTTTTCATAGTTCAAATGTTAAAAACTAAAATAACTGCAAATTCAACACTTGCACATGCAATGCAGTTAAATAATTCAATAATTCTCCATAAATTCAATTCTAGTATTTAAAAATATCAGATACCTAGAGTTCTGGAAAATGTTCTATCAAAATCTTTTAAAAGGTTTTCTTTATGTCACATGACTATGTAGCATTATATGATCTTTTTGCATAGACTAGTTTAAGATATTTATTTGTATACAAAGTAAATTGTAAAACAAAAATTGAAAAAAAATTGATATTGTTTATGTTCTAAATATTTATTTCGTCATTTAGTCTGTGGTAGGACATTTTTGTCACTTTATTATTCAGACTTTCAGAAAATACTAAAGGAACAAGTTGAAACTTATTTCTTGATTGAAAATAGAAATCCACTTCTAAAGTCTTCAAATATTTATGTCAATGCCTTTGCTTTTTGCAGAAATGGAGAGTCTCCGCCTCCCCCGGGGACTAGCACTATCTGCTGGGATCATAACACGGATTATTATCTATACTGTCCCACCGGATGCTGTGAAAAAGGCACTCAGAACGAACGTTGTTGCACGTAAGTAACAAAGAATTTGTAAATCAGGGACCATTTGCAAAGTCCTCAAATTCTCATTTATCAATCATTTCAATTTGTTACGTTTATAAACATCCCTAAATATATTTCAAATCTTTCATTATTTTTGAATTATATATAACACCTAAGTGCATTTTTTTTAAATATAAAATAATTTAAAAAAAAAAACAAAACAAATTGCATCTCACGTGAACGTATTTTGCTTTATCTTGCAGACAAGAGGAATCTCCATTTAACAGAATGCAGAACTGGTATGTCTTGATCTATCAATCTTAAATTTATAACAGTAAATCCATGTTCACAATGTTTTGTAAATGCTAGGAAGCAGTAATTGAAGCTTTATTTAGCCTGCTGAAAGAAAAATGCCATATTTCAATTTAAAAAATATAATTTTGTAATGCAGTTTTTTTTTTTTATTTTGGTTAATTATCAATTCTTATTCTTCAGAAAGTTTCTATAGAAACTACCAAAACACTTGAAAAAATCATAATTATGGTTTCACAAAAAACATTCAGATTCAAGAAACAATTTGTTTTGTGTTTCGTAAAACCACTCTCAATAAAAGCAGTCCTACGTTATTGTGTATATTGAAGGACACTAACTCCGAAGCCAGATTCCACCCTCTGTTTCAACAACAGCAAGTATCCTGCAGATTTTATTTATTGTGAACATGGTTGTTGTGGGGAGACAGGAGGACAGTGTTGTAGGTGAGTGGAACCGTTTCTCCTACTACTCTCTTACTATACAGTGTGAAGGGCCGGGGTTTCAGCGCTTCACTAGGAATTGCAGATATATTCAAATTGATTTTTGAATGAATGTTGTTTAACGTCCCTTGCAAAAATTTCCATTTATATGAGATATCACCTTATACCGGTGAAAAACTTCAAATTTAGACCTATTCTCGGCCATTAAGCAGTGAGGTTTCTTTAATGTGCCAACGCCTACACGGAATGTACGTATTAAGCTCATATCTGAAAGACATATATATTATTAAATGAAATATATGGAGATAACGAACAGTATTCAAGCTCAAAAGTCCATTAAACAATACAAAATAGGAGCAGAGCAAAACATCAGAGTTGGGATCAGGTGCCATGGAAGAGTAAGCATCACCTGCCGACCGGTCACACCCGCCGTGTGCTCCTTGTCATGATCGGGAAAGAACGGTAAAATCCGTCGACAGTTCAGTTTGTAAATAATGGCCTAATAATTAGTATAAAAAACGTTAGTCAGCATTTGACTCAATGATAAATTGGATTTGCTGACAAGGTCATTGTATCGACCATAGAACTTACGAAATGATGACTTTAAGCGAGACTGCTGATATTCTTGTTTCATCAACTTGTTTGTCAATAATTTACCTCGTTTTAGAAATTGTACAATCGTAAAGCATGCTCTTGCGTATCGAATCAACTGAGAAATATAAACCCCGTATGCAGGTGATGAAGGTATATTGCTGCATAAGTAAGGGAAGTTGACGATTGAAAAGTTAAAGTCATCACGTTTATCATAAAGCTTGGTTGTTAGATTACCATTAACGCCTTTTTCAAGTAAAATATCCAAATATGAAACAGATGTGTCAGGCTCTGTGGTGTCTTTTATCTCAAGCTCACCGAGATATATCGTATCAACATAAAAATGGACATAACCATTGTTAATTGACAATACGTCGTCGATATATCTAAATGTCGAGTTGAAAGCTACAGCAAGTGTTTTCTTCTTTTCACGCATAAAATTTTGGACAAATTCTGCTTCATATGAATACAAAAAAGGTCTGCTTATAACGGGGCGCAATTGGTACCCATGGAATTTCCAGTAGATTGTTGGAAGACTTGGTCTCCAAAAACCACTTGGATATTGTCAATCAGAAACTCAAACATCTTTTTAATGTCAACTTCAGAGTACTTGTGTGTACAGTCAGAATTTTTTTTAACAAAATAATTTTTTGCAAATTTCTAATGACAAGGTAAGTAAATTTACGAGTTCCATTTTTATTGAAAAAGCAGCTGTCAATGATATCAAAAAGCCTGGACTTAAATCTATCGTGGGGAATGGTTGTGTGTAAAGTTGAAAATTCGTAAGTTTTTAAGCTGTTGATTTTGGTAAAATTTTGTGATTTCAAATTTTCCAAAAGTTCCTTGGAATTTTTAAGTATCCACAAATAAATTGTTGCACAGTACTCTTGAAGCGTCTCCTTCACTACTGGTAATATCTTAGTGAGGAGTAAAGAAATAGGCTTGGTTGAACATTTACTGGAACCCGCTATGTATCTTTGTTTGTAAGGATTTTTATGGAGTTTCGGAATCCAGTATAGATATGGTAATTCAAATTCATTTTGGTTGTTTGGAATATTAAAAATATTCAAAACTGACATATGCTTTTGAAGAATTTCGTCCTTAGAAAGGAAACTATGAGTATAAGTTGGATTACCACTTGTAGAATTAAATCTAAGTTCCTCTAAAATACATTTAATATAATGAGCCTTACAAACAAAGACAATGTTGTTACCTGCTTTGTCAGCAGGGACCAGTACATACTGATCATGTAATCCATCTAATTGTTTTTTCACTTCTGGATTATTGAATACAGAAGGATAGATGGTTCTCATATTGCCCCTCAATCTTTTAATGCGCGATTTTAACATACATCTGATACATTTAATCCATTAAGACAAAGTGTCAAGGTCTTCTTTTTCATGTCAGGCCCATCGCCTGGCGTAATCCTCCACAGAATCCATAATATTTATGAAATTCCGACGCCAGTTGAAGGATCGGGGTTCCCTATATTTAGCACCTTTTAAAATTAGTGATCTAAGGTCCTCATTATTAACTATATTTACGTCACCAGTAATAACGTTTCCAGCAGGACTATAGTTACATGTATAGGGTGAAGAAGAACATGAACACGATGGAGGAATATGTTTCAGATGTTCGATATCAAGGTCCTGTAAAGTTTTCTTGTAATTAAAAAGTTTGGAAGCAATAGTCGATGTATAATTGTAGTAATGAAAAACGAATTCTTATAAGGTGAGTATAGGATGCTGTATGGGAGCTCGATGTGCTTGATGGATTGACTTTGTTTATGCAACCAAATTTCAACTTAGATTGAGACATAATAGTCATAGATAAACCTATACTATCAATGAACTAAAGAAAACCAGAAAAGTTTTCCTAACATTGATTATCTCCAAATATGAAATATAATCAAAATGGTAATCGTTTTTCTTTCTGATACCGAGTGTTTTAGTTAGAAACAGTCTCTACATATATCTTCTTACAGACATGGGTGAGAGTGGGGCCTCGGTCAAGATCTAACGGTTGTCCTACAGGTGCTATTGTTCTATACTGACAATGATGGTCCATAAACTTTTTCTTCAAATTTATTATCAATTCATGTAAATCGTGTGCATTTAAAATATCGCCTATTTCATAGAAGAGGAAAAATGTAGTGTTTGTTTCTACCTTATTTTTCACCATACGTGTTTGACAAAATTGTGTTTTTATCGTTGTCATACTGTACTTTTAAATATGGGTGATTCAAAAAAGCGTTTGCATATACAAATTCTGTAAAAACATAAATCTACAATTTTCATATGTTTACCGTTGTGTCATTGATGAATGAAAAATTTACAACTACAAACATTCTTGGTTTTGTATTCTTAATCAAAAATATCGAAGCTGCAGGAAATAACCATGCTCTGAATTTTACTCTTTTCATATGGAAGGCATAAAGAATATTCTAGATGAGATATAATGATTAGCTTTCTCTTATTGAACAGAGCTCATTGCTTGCGGTGTTCTCTTGAGATTATTTCTGCATAAGAATTTTGAAATTAAAATATACAATTCAATTCCATTAAATCAAGGAACATAAATTTTTGAGTTGCTGAGAAAAAAGGTTAAAAAATAATTATAAGTCTGCAACTCTCATTATTTTAAACATCTCAAATTCAAAAGAGGAAATAAAGCATTATACTACATGCAGTCTATGTTTTACAGCACACTGGTGTACTTGAAAACAAACTCACTTTGATGTTACGAACACCAGTATTGTAACATTTATTGATTTACTTATCATTCTTCTCTTCATACTGGATTATGAAATATAACGTTTAACACTATCTTATTCAACATCATCTATATTTTCTACTGATAAAAAATCTTCTTTTCAAAATGAGGTCATTCTTTTATCTCCAGGGAAGGAGAAACCCCACCGTCTCCCAAGCCAATCGAAGACAAATGTTACCATGGATGTACCCACGGCTGCTGTGGGACCACCATGAGAGTTCGATGCTGTGTGTAAGCCCTCTTTCTTTAAGGATATCCACTCCTCAGTCAGAAACAAACATTCATGACATCAGTATTTTTAATTAATTCTCAGAATGAAGTTTAAAATTGACATTTTTTTTTTTCATGCAACAAATCCATTTCATGCATATTACATGATTCCAGGTTCTTTGGAGTCTTAGAAACAGTCTTGTAAAATGTAGACATTTTAACCCCATAAAAACTTTTCTTAATTGCATATTTAGAGAAATCGTTATGTTATTTGAATATACATAGTATGTATTATTTCTTTAAAATTGATCATTATTGTTAATCTTATTTAGGAAAAAATTATCAAATCTCAAATATATTTTTAGGAATCTTGTCTTCGATACCAACGTTTATTTGGATGAAATGAAAGTGGAAATGATCTATGACATCTTGCAATAATATCACATGCATTTTTGCACTACATATTATATAAAAATTGAAATTAATAGAAGAAAAAATACTGCATAATTACTTTAAAAAGAAACATGCCTGGATATCTATAGTTTATCAACCTGAATTATATTTGTTGACCAATTTTCAATTGGAAAATGCATAATTGGTGCTTTTATACACATTTCCTGAAAATACATTCGAGATTTGATTTTTTTTCCCTGTAAGATATGATTAACTATAATAAGGATTAACTATGAAGAAATAAAATGCACATATTCACTTTTCTGTGTGACTTCAGTGAATTTTTGTGAGCATTTCCAATATTACTTACACGTACCTGCTTATTTTAGGAACATGAAAAACAACAACATTAAAGTGCCAAAAAATTAAAAGATATATTTGCCATACATATCTTCATTCTTTCACTTACATTTCAGTCCAGGTGAATATGGAACTACTACCCGTCGTCAATTAACAACACGGAAGAGGTTAGTGAAAACAAAGAACAATGGTTGAAAACACAAACAAATGCGGGTTTCCATGACATATTTTTATAACTATTAGAATAAAATACATGCATCTCTGATAAAATAAAAATTATATTTAAGAGAAGAAAAACATGCTAACGACATTTAGTATTTAAAGTTCACGTAATAGAAAATAAATCATGTTCTGTTTACTTAAGTGATGTCACCACACAACACCCTGATTCCACTTTCTGCTACATTAATGAAGTCCACGACTATCGCCATTGTCCACTAGGGTGCTGTGTTGGAAGATGCTGCAAGTAAGAGTTTTTTTTTCAGTATTATACTTCAATTTCTTGTGTTCTAAGTCCAGTGAATAATTAAAAAAAACATACATACTGTAAACCAACATTCCCGAATCATTAGATTGAAATCAGTCTGGCTTGTTCTCTACTGGAATTCATTCTAGAAGAAATGCTAATTCATCACTTTCATAATACTTTTCCAGGGATATTAATGCTTCAGTAGAGCATGCATGTTACACAATAACTTACATGTATTCCTTGCGGAGAGTATTTTTCAGAAAGTGACCAATTGTGCGATTGATTGATTCATTTGTTAATTAGTCGAATTTTACACACATATAGATATATATAATCATTTGAAGTAGAGGTGAACTATTGTTAATGAATGCTAAATTAACTTGTACCTTTATCAGAAGTAGACCCTGTGGTGTGTTTTCCACAAGTTTACTCTTTGTTCACTATTACAATGAACATTTATTTTTACTTTGCTCAGTGTTTGTCCATTGTCAATGTTTAACCACGTTTTAATTTGTTCAAGACACTTGCTACATACAAACTTTTTTCCTGTCATAAAATACAACTAAATCTATGCTTATTTAAGTAAAATGAATATGTTTACTTGCATAAAATTAATTTTTCGAAGTTTCTCATTAACGTCCTTAACTATGATTAAAATAATGGCAAAAGAGAAGATATTTAAACATCACAGAAAGTCTACAATTCTTAATGCTTTGATTATTTGATTATTGCATCATTTAAAACCAAAATAAGTTAGAGAAATATAAACCAATCCATGCATTCAGTTATTTGTTTGCAGTATCTGTCGGGAATATTTTCGTTATAACCTATTGTTACAGTGAAAGTGATATTCTCCACCCAGGGGAGACGATCTGTTACATCGAAGCTGAACAGAGTTACCGTTACTGTGGTTATGGCTGCTGTAACGGAAAGTGTTGCAGGTAATGTGTTTAGAAAAATTACGAAGTTGTATAGCATTAATAATAACATGTCTCAAGCATAATGCTTCTTCTTTTAGCAGAAAAAAAATTGGGAAGTATATATATTGATCTTGCAAAGCGAATTTTTTAAGTTTATATCGTTATAGTGACATACATTATTGAGGTTAGGTTATTTCAGTATAATATTAATGCCAATATCAGCTTTTTGAGTTACAAAGCAAAAACACACACAAACAAACAAAAAACAAACAAAAAAAAAAAAAAAAAAAAAAAAAAAAAAAAAAAAAAAAAAAAAAGAAGAAAATTAATGAATCCATGTCAAACATTGAATCTCATTGATTTTCTTTTGCTAATTTAAGCCACCCATCCTCCACCATGTGCTGGATGAACAATATACACGATTACAAGTACTGTCCAATGGGGTGCTGCGGTGACGAATGTTGTAGGTTAGTCCTTCTTTTGTATCATTATCACTCATCGCAAATAAACTTGATATTCTAAACTATTATGTATACAATTTATATACAAGGAAATTTTTTGAGCTATCACTTGAGGAATTACATATTAAATCATTAGTAGAGACGGCAGCACGCAGCATTCAGACTCGACTTTGTGTTTCGATGATAAGAAAGAAGATTATGTATACTGTTCTCATGGGTGTTGTGGAGGCAAATGCTGTGATTTGATCTATCAACAAAAACAAGGCCATCAAATGTATGATACAGTTATCAGATAATTAATGATTTAAATTATATTAAATTTAAAGATGTAGCAGATGGTTACCTATAAGACAAAGGGAATTCTTTGCATAACGATTAACTGGGAGGAATCTCTTAAAACAAGTAGCCATGCAGTTTTGATTATTTGGAAGCTCATAACCTCAGCTAGATTTGTTCTTAAGTTGTATTCTTATCTTATCAAATGTGTAGTTAAATGTTAACACAAATACTTATATATGATCAGATCTGCTGCCAGCATCGCCTTCATTGTCTTAGGTACAATTTGTACCCTGGTTATTGTAGTCGGGCTCGTCGTGTACGTTATTTCCCGCCAGCGGGGACTTCCAGGAACTCCAAATATCATAAAAACAGTGCATTCAGTCCCAGAGCAGAATGCATATGTCTGTAAGTCTGAGTTTCAAGTTATTATTACTTAAATCAAATATGAAAGCTGGTATTTGAATCTTATAGCGGAAATAATGAAAATGCCTCAATGGTATCTTTTATTGATAAAGTATTACATGTTTTTACTGGTTTTCTGGGAAATTAATTTGTTTCCTTCAAGTTTACTTAAAGTGTGATAAGTATTCAGGGAATTAATTCCTTTGAGATATAAACGTTTCCTATTTTGAACAAATGAATCTTAATTAATATCTTAGATTATAAGATTATAAGATCACTGGCCATTGAGATAGTGAAATGTGCAGGGCCATATTTTTTAACGTTTTAATTCAAATCTCAAAATGATGCTACTCACAAGTTTTGCCAAGATGCACATAAATAAATGTCTTTAATAAAGAGAGAAAAATACATGCCCTTTTCCATATCACATCCTGTATAAGCCCGAGATACCATTATCAGCCAGAGGGCTGAAGGCCCGAGGCTGATATTGGTCGAGGGCTGATACAGGATGTGATGTGGAAAGGGTATGTTTTATTATGTTTATTACATACTTTATAATAAAATACAGCACATATCAACCTGAGAAAAATACAAATAACTAGAAACTCATTGCGAGCAATGAGAGGTCTTCCGTCCGATTCTGAAAAAAAGAAAACTCAAACTGAAAAAGTGATAAAAGAAATTCAGACACTCTGGAGATTTAACCCTCGTCGTCAGCCTGAAAATCCAACGTGCTAACCATTAACCATTCCCTTATTTGCATTACTTTCTGTCACGACCGGAAGTAACGGCGATACAAGATTTTGTCACGATTCAAATAAACTGATCACTGACTATCAGTCCTGAAAGTTTCAGACTTCAATCGTTTACTGTTGCCGAGCAATAGACCGGAAGTTGACGTTTTATTTCCGGTGGAATCTAACATATTTCAAAACAGCGAAAGAGATGCAATCAAGTGATGCAAGTTTTAGCTTAAAAAAGAAAGAAGAGAAATAATATGATTGCATCCTCTGATCTAAATAATAAAACAGGTTTTGTAATCCTCAGAAAAAGTTCTATCATTTTATAGTTGCATATTTAAGATCAGAGGTTACGCTCTATATTAAATATCGAAAAATTAGCTTTAAAAATTGGTTTGTTTTGTAGAATTTTTCACGATATGAGGAAAATGTCGCATTTCATGACGTCATAATGCATTGGCTAGCCAGAAAATTACGTCATTTTGATAGATACGCAGTCATCAAAGGTCTAAATGATATTTAATGCATTGTCAAAGAAGTTTCAGTTTTTCTGAAATTCACAGGGCCAAAAAAGGCCCTAAGTGGACCTTGTTCTTTAATATTGATACCACTACACTAGCGCAATGTAGCAGCCATCATTGATGTTTACCTTGCACTCATTCCCTGGAGTAACGAGTGTCAGGCAGGTTAATCTTTATTTCTTATAGTGTGGAATTATAGGATGAAAACTTGCCAGCTAAATTTTGTACAAGTACTAGTAGATTTACATCGGATTTGTTACTTGAGTTTTAACAATAACTGATAGCAGAGAAAATAATCTGTTACTGATAAAAACTAAAAAAAAACTATTGTGTTTACTTCCTTTATTCTTTATGCATTCAACTTTCTATTCTATGCAATTCCAAATTCAGACATGTCCGTGTAATCTTTTTCTGTACTTCTACACTACTGCATCAGACCATTTGTGAAAGGCGGGTCAAGATACATTATTTCGCGCCAAACGTCACGAGTAAATCATCGCGCCTTTTCTTTGGAATGTGTCTTCAATTGAATAAGAGTACGTGATAGCTTCAATGAAATTTTTAAAAATATGTTGCTGTAGCCTGATTTTCGAGTCTAAGAATGTATATTTATCACACTGTACATATTACATATCGTATACGGGCAAGTAACATAAAGGCAGCACTAAGTTTTCTTACACATTTTATATTCCTCTTTACCCCCAAAGTGGATTATTCCAATTAGTAACACATTAATGAAAAGACTGGAATGTTTCGCAACAAAACACGTCTCGCCATATGACGCTCAAGGAATCTGATACCTATTATGTTCTGTAACTTGCATCTATAAAGGAATATTGCCCTACTAAAATCAAAGAAAAATATCATTGAAGTTTATTTTTCTCTCATTTGAAATTGCTATATATGTTATTCAATCAACATGAGAAAGTAACAAATTCTACTTTCAAAATACAATTCCGCAACTCTCCAATTTATGATACAATTGCATAGGTATCTAGCTACATATACATTTGCACCAACATGTTTTCCTCATTTTGTCATATCACAATTGCATCTATGCACATTAATTAGTGCAAAATTAAACTGCAAACTCTTTATGAGGGAATAAAAAGACACGCTGATATTGTGCCGTCAAACACCGCTGCTCTGACGTCTAAAGACATAGCCCCCCCCCCCCTTAAGATAAAATCTTATATTTGAGCCCCAAAAAGTGAGAAAAAATTCGGAAATTCTTTGGATTGAATCCAGATCGCCCACTAGAAAATTCAACATGCTAACAATTACACTATCAAACACCGTCTCTTAAAATTGAAAAATGATAAATATTCAGAGTATGGGTTAATCAATTTTTAAACAAACTACATATTTAGCATTCTTGTAAAACTCTTTATTAAGCCTATCAACATCATAAAAAAATATTGAAAAACAAAAAAGTTCAAAAAATTACCCTTTTTAAATCACTTCCTGTGACGACCGGAAGTTACGACGACACACGAAATGTTTCCATCACACATCTACAAACCAAATTCTATCATACTTGAAAGTTTCAGACTCCTACCTTTAACAGTTTCTGAGAACATTCATGGACTAGATTTTTAGTGGAAAAAGTGAAAAATCGTAATAATTCCCGACCGGAAGTAAATTTTTCCAAACTTTTTCAATATTTCAAAATGGCATGAGATAACAAATCATTCCTGAAAATTTGGCTGAAAATGAACGAGTAGTTTTTGAGATATCGCGATTTGAAAAGGTCAGAAAAATAAAAATGAAAAATAATAATAATAATAAGAAGAAGAAACAGTAGAATCACTATAGGTCTTCCGTTGAAAACGGAAGACCTAAAAATCATGGACTGACTACTGACATGTAGCTTATTATATGAAAGAAAAGTAATTTAAAATTAATGATTGATTGATTTAGTGTTGTTTTACATCCCATTCGAGAATTTTTCACTCGTATAGAGACGTTACCATTTACCAGTGAAGGGCTTCAAATTTAGCCCTTTACTCGGCACTCAGGGACATTGAGCAGTGAGGGTTCTTTATCGTGCCAACGCCTACCGTGGCACGTGGCCTCTTTTTTAGGTCTCATCCGAAAGACCCGCAACTTTCACTTCAAAGTGCCTAGCGCTTGGCGAAAGAACAGTTGCTACCTATTTTTAATTTAAAATTAATAAAATGTTAACAAAAAAATAGGTGTATTATATCAAGTACTTTTTTAAGATTCAAACTACTAGGGTGTGATATAAATCCGTATCAGCCCTGCAGATCTGTATCAGCCCTGGAAGCTGATACGGCTATTGTGACGTCAGGCATATGTCAAAAAACTGTTTTTATTTCTAAGGATGTAATAAACATTAATTCTATCCAAAAGAATTCATACGTAATTTTAAATAAAGTTGCTTTAACCATGAGATTTGAAACATATTATATGCTTTTATCAGAATTGATCGTTTTGTAGGTCTTTCAAATTTAGAAATACTTTCAGTAAAGCGTTTTAAATTTGTATTAAAAAGCAACCCTTCAGCTAAAATCTGTTATGTCTGTTTGATTTGGAGTCATTTTCAATTAAAAATTGTCATATCTACGTACCTGTATATAGGAGGGAAAGGATTAATAGAAACAATTCATAATTCAAATTTTGCAGATATGAGTTACATATTTTACATTTAACCTTTTTTGATGTGTGACAGTAATTAATGAAGACTTCTTTTCCTTTGTAGATCATGAACCATATCAGAAAATTTAAAGCATTCCAACTTGCATCATTCATGAATTTGATCTGAACCAACCATTCATGACTTAAATGAACATGCTCTATTATATTTACCTACACAAAACTCTTCCAGTAATCGGTGAAATGCTATCTTCTTGCCAGAAAGGATGTTGAGAGCCAGAGAAGAGTACTTAGGAGTAGTTTTTACGATGCTAATATTTTTATGCTAATATACATAATATATATTTTTAAGTGTGATTTTTGATTATTTTACCATCGACTCTTGAATCAAAATTGATAAATTTAGGAGTTAAAATGTTGTAGGAATAAGGATATTAACAAAAGTTATTTATCTGAAATAACTAAATCAACTTTGGGTACTTTTTTCTCCTATCTGTTTGATATAAACATTTATCATATTGTATATATTTTTCTATTATACTATTAAAAAATCACGTTTTCTGTATGAAAAGTATTGCACTCATATTACATTTAAAATTAAAGTCTTCGTGGACTTGCAAAAATCATTCAAAGTAACAATTCTTATAATTGTTTTCAAAATATTTTATTTTTCAATAGTGAATATAAAACTCCCCAACATACATGTACGGGGATTCTTTTTAACACCACATAGAAGGGTATTTTAAATATTACTGTATGGAAACCAAGGATCGCAGAAAAGAAACTTTTAACATCAACCAAATAAACATAAAAATTTTATAGAAAATTACTGTGTATCATTCACCGAATTTTGTCACGAAGTGTGTTCTATTTACAGCTAGAGTTTTGATTTAAAAAAGTAATCTATCATTACCTTTGTTCTTTTTTTAATTGATTGACTAGATTCTCTTAACCTTGAAAGATCAAGTGGTGCTTTGTAGTCTCAGCAGAAGAAATATGAAGAAGAGTTAAGATGTTGAGGAATCTTTAGATTCCAAGAGATAAAAAGGCAATGACTCAAAAATAATACCTACTGAACTGGACAAAGCACTACACGTATTCAAAACCGGAGGTTTTCAGGCATATTTTGGACATCTCTTTGCAAAATTACATCCTTGTAATTTTAAAACATATATAGTTTGTATTTAGACAAACAAATGAATAAACCTGCTAATTTAAGCAATTGGTCAAAGACATTTTATAAAATTTTCAAAGAACTCATACTATGCGTTTTGCAGCAATCACAATAATTGAATTAGAGGACTTTGCTCAAAATTTCACTCAACCATATTCCAGACCACGTTATTTCTTAAAGACCCAATTTTTTTCTTTTGAGAAGCTATGCAAATGACTATGAGAAACTTATACAATGTTTTTCTAAGGCCAGAACAATGTCTATTCATGTTATGATTTTAAATGCTTTACAAGAAGCACTAGGTGAAAACATATACCTGTCCTAAATATAAAACAGCTGAATACCAATACCAGTCCTAAATATAAAAAAGCTGAATACTAAGCAGATCAATATTATAGGTTATATATGGCCTAAAACAACATCGAGAAACGGGCGAGGAAATTGTTAAAAAGAAAGGTATGGATTACAAAACGTAAATTTGGTTTAATAATAAATGAATGCCATATTTTAATTACTTGTACATGTACTTTGAAATATATGCATTGAAATATCATGAACCTACTTTCGTTTTGAATCCATATCTCCTAACGAATCAATAAATAGCACAGCAAATACTTGGTGAGGTTTGGAGAAATTAAGTAAAACTGAAGATGCATTAAATTTTGTTTTAAGTTTTAAAGTTGTTTTTAAAAAGTATACTTATTTTATCTAATTCACGCATCCAGCTCATTTTGCATTCCTGTTCAAAAAGGCAGACTGCTAACTTGAACATAATTCCGGTGAAGTTATTGCAGGTTATTACAGGTATCATTATCTGTGCAGTTTAAATATCGATTGGACATTAGATGATATCATGACTTCGTAAACCCTGTTTAAATTGTAAACAGACAGATGTATTCTAATAATAAACATTACGACTGGTGTTAAAAAACAACTGCAAAGGTAAAATACACGAAAGGATTTTTTAATTCACGACCGGAACACATCACATTTTTTCTGGTGATGCTCGAAAGACACTGATCAAGAACATCATATTTTAACCTATTTACAAAGATTCATCTGAAAAACCAACACTGAAAGACAGACCTACAGACAAAAGATACAAAACCTTCAGTCCCCTATGGCATGTCAAACGTTTCAATGTTCAATCTTTTCCATTTGTATTGTATTATTTTCCATTTGAAGTGCATAATATTCCATTTATATTCTATAATTTTCTTTTGTTTTGTATAATTTTTATTTGTATTTTATAATTTCTATAATTTTCCATCTGTATTCTATAATTTTCTACTTGTAATGTGAAATTATACAATACAAATGGAAAAGATCTAATATTGTTAATTTTGACATGCCATAGTCCCCCGACTTAACCGTAAAGAACTTGTAAGTAACTAGTAAAAATTTATGAGCATTTGACAAAAGCTTTCACTAGTAAATGTTTAAATACCTTATTATTATATTTCATGATTAATCATTCAGGGTGTTTAGTTTGTATAATACTGCGATAAAATTCAAGCGTTAATAAATGTAAGCTACTTAGCTGCCTCTACCAATCATTTCAAGGAAACATCTTTGATGTCATAACGTTTTGTTTTCAGATTTGACATAAAAACAGTGATACAAAAGGGAAATGGCTAAAGGTAGTGACGATGAGAAATGGGCACAAGATGTTCTGAGGTGTGAAATCTTGTGCTCGAGGTCCAGTACAATTGTATTGCACTTTCTGTCTGGCCTAGCTAGAGGCCGAGTTGTCTTTAAGCCATCCAGCCGAGAGGCCGAGTTTATTAAATCACAGAAAATGCCAGAAAATTTACGACTTGGGAAGGAAATACAGAATAAAATAGACGAATTAGACGAATTTCAGGCAACATACAAACTTAGAATCTTCAGGGTAAACAATGGCACGCAGCAGTGGACAATCTAGTACAAGAATACGAAGATGAAGAAAGCGACTTGAGAGAGACGAGAACAATTTGAAACCATTTCAACAAATGCAAAACAGAAGCTGAAGATTCATGAGTCCAAAGATATTTCTAAGATGGAAAATTTCCGCTTTCCTGATTAGGTTTTTCCAGACCTAATACTTTGGACAGGTCCAAACTTTGTTCCAATCAATGTCACTACGGACATTTTTTCGGAACTTTGACAAACAGCTCTGTCAGATTGTATATGGCATAGCTGGACTCTTCAACCTCTCCACAAAGAAATTTAACTTCGTTTCCGATTACAAACATATCGACCTGCACATGACGTGTATACATGTGGAAATCCTCAAAAAATAAGAAGTTTTTACCAGCGGTGAAAGTAAATGTATAAAATGTACAAGGTTTATGAAATGACTGTCCTCCTATTATTGAAACTAGAAAAATCATTTTAGTACACTTCTCTTCCTCCATCTGATCATAATTCAAAGATCAATGGTTCATTAAAATTTATGACACATTGCTGATCATTATACATTTATAATCTCATTTACAATGTGATACGACAATTTCTTGACAAAAAAATGTAATAATATGTTACATGTACTTTGGAGCTTAAAGGTGCTTAGACACAGATTTGAAGTTAATATTTTCTCAAATTTTCTGTATAATATCATGACTTATATATTGCAATAGCATTTCACACGAAAATATAATTAAAAACTTATTTTTAATTAAATTATTGGAACTACCAATTCCTGGACGCGTTTGATTAACACATCCTTGCACTTTCACAAATTTTATCTTTATCCTTAATATTTAAGAAAAGAAGCGATTTTGTTGTGTATTAATGAAAAACATTACATCTATAATCCAGAAAATTCAGAGTAGAAATGTGCGAAAGCAAACCCCCTCACTAATATCTTCAGCCCGTGCTCAGTGTTGTGTACAGAGTTTAACAAATTGAATGCACCCGTGAAACGTAAACTGCTTTTGTAAACAGGGCAAGAGTTCTGTTATTGTTAATGTTTACGATTCATCGGGTTTGTTCAATTGCTAAAGTTTGCACACACCACTGAGCACGGACTGACAATACTGTGAGTGGGTTTTGCTTTCGAACATTTCTACTCTGAATTTTCTGTATTATAGTTTGAATATTTTTCATTAATACACAACAAAATTGCCACTTTTCTTAAGTATTAAGAATAAAATTAGAATTTGTGAAATTGCAAGGATGTGTCAATCAAACGCGTCCAGAAATTTGAAGTTTCAATAACTTCGAGAGGAAATAAGATTTTTATTATATTTCAGTATGAAATGCTATAGCAACATATAAGTCGTGAAATTATACAGAAATTTTGAGAAAATATTAACTTCAAATCTGTGTCCAAGCACCTTTAAGGTCAGATAGACATTTAAATCGTAACAGCCACAATATATTCGACTGGCAATTGCAAACCACGTAGGGCAGAAAGACCACATAACATGTGATGAGGTGACCACACCGGACACGCATACTCACACACTGGTCTCACCTGCATGTTTTAACTGGCGATTGCCGAAAGTAAAAAGAAGGTTTTTTCTACAGCATATTTTACATGCACATCCCATTTCAGGTTGTAGCTAATGATTACGCCTAGTAATTTGGCTTCGTTTACTCGTTTAATTTCCTGACCCTCCTTGATCGGACGAGGAATCAGCTGCTTCTTTCCAAATGAGATCATGTTCTTTTGTCTCAAAAGTATTGATGTACAGTTTTCTCTAGGACCACTTGTCAGCTGTTTGTTGTAATTCTGATGGTTCTTTTGTCAACTCGACATTTGGAACGCTTGTTTTAGGTCGGCCACCGCATGAATGAATAATTCTGGGCTGCACAATATTAATGTTCCTTGAGGCACTCCTCCATTGATTTCTGTCCATTCGGATTTTACATCGTTAGTTTTCACTCGTTGTTGACGGTAATTGGGTTTGTTTGTTTTTTTGTTTGTTTGTTGTTTAACGTCCATCTCGAGAATTTTTCACTCATATGGAGACGCCACCACTTGCCGGTGGAGAGCTACAAATTTTGACCTATACCCGGCATTTAGGGCCATTGAGCAGTGAGGGATCTTTTTCCTGCCAGCAGCTACTGCGATACGGGACCTCGGTTTATACGGTCTCATCCGAAGGACCTGTCTCCACGTCCCACAGTGGGATTCGAACCCGCGACTTAAGGATCAACTCCTCACTCCGCAACTCTAGAGCGAACGCTCTGACCAATGCGCCACGCCGGCGACTAGACAACTTGACGGCTGGATAAAAAGCTTCTAAACCCAATCACTTATACCTGAAGTCTATGCCGTTGTTTTCTTTTTTTCAATACCTTATTGTTATCAATATGATCGAAGTTTGCTGAAATCAATGCGCAACATTCGAAAAAAACTTTTAACTGTCCTCGTTGGCCTCGTGCGCAGGCTGTAGAATCTTAAGAAGAGTGTGGGTGGTCGAGCTTCCACTCCTAACACCATATTTGTTAGGAACGATGTTGGGACATGCTAATCTTAGATGTTGTAGGTATGTTTTTTCCATTAATTTTGCAAGTATTGGTGTGAGAGATATTGGTCGGAAATATTTGGCAGAATTGATTAAAGGGTTTACTTTACGTATAGGGACAACATCCGCTCTCTTCTAAATTGCCGGAGTGAAATTTTCTCTCAGGGAGCTGTTGGATATAGCGCATACTGGTTTTCGATGGTGTTTGAAAGTTATTTCAAAATCCAGTGTGGAATGAAAACGAGGCCCATAGCTTTGGATATTTTGATGCTCGAAAGCTGTTCTACCACTTCATCTGGTGTAATGATGAATTTGATGGGAATTGGTCATGGTTCTGCCTCATCCTGACTTTTACGCGGTTTCAGATCCTAATAGACACTGATGCAAACTCATTTTTTATTTTGTCTGAAAGCTTTGAGAAGTTTCCTTCAAATCTGCTGTTAGCTAGATTTTGTGGGGATCTAGTTTTTCTTTCCCAGTCATAAGAATGATTCTACTTTTTTTTTCCACCACTGTTTTTGTCTGATCTGCACATTTCTTCTACAGTTTTTCTGACCTCAGGCGGTTGATTGAGTTCCTTAGTTGGTCATAAGGTCGGGAGCGGAATACAAAAAGATAGACAATAAAGCAGAACCTCATTGCTGTGGATTTTGGAGAAGCGGAGATGGGAGATAAGATGCTGATGATTTTACTTCATGATTAGATCATTTCAGTTAGGAAGAAATCTGAACGATAAAAGATGTTTGAAGCCGACCACGTCCAGTTGTTAAACCGCGCACATTTCAAGCTGAAGGTAACTGCAGAAGCGTTTATAGACAGCATTAGTTAAAAGATCAACCTTGGTGACTCAGTTATGGATGAGGTAACAATAAACATCGACAGAAAAACGAAGTTGGTGTTAAAATTCAAAGTAGGTGTCTTCCTTCCTCTCCATACCAGTCCCTGATTTCTAGTCCCTCTCTTCCTTCAAATGTCTTTCAAGGCAATGTCATTATAAAGTATAGTGCTCTAAAGACGGTTACTATTGAATTGATGTCATTTGTAAATCCACACCTCTTTAACTGAAACCTCATTAATAGACACAATTCAGCTGTGGGTGATATATTGTGAATCATGAAGGATATAAATTTATCCGACTTATTTATAAATACATGTAAATGACGAAAACTTTGACTTCTTTAAAATCCCTCGTCATTTTAGGTTCCCTTGAAAGTACATCTTACCATGTTGACTTATTCTAATTAAATGTATTGTTTTGTTATTCTGCCTCCTACACGTCCCAGTTTTGATAATTTTCGATAATTGAAAGCCCAGCACCCCTGCTATCAATATTTTACAAAATTTAAGAATTTTTTTCTAGAGGTTTTGATGGAAACTTGCAAACGTGTTCCGACTGTCTCACATCAAGTGATTGTCCAGCACTCTGTCCAAAACAAAATTCCGATTGTCCCACAAGAGATATAATTATCCAACAAGTACAATTCTGATTGTTCAAGAACACGAGGTCCGATTGTCGCACAAGAGTTCTAATTGTTCCAAAGCAAGAGTTCTAATTGTTCCAAAGCAAGAGTTCCAATTGTCCCAATACAATACTCGTAGTTCTGATGGTCAAACATCAAGAGAGTTCCAGTTATCCTACAACAAGAATTCGGATTATCACACAACAAGCGTTCCCATTGTTCAATAACAAGTGAATTCTGATTGTTACACTAGAATAGTTATTATTGTTTCTGATTACAATATTTCTGATTGCTCCATGAATTTCGATTGTCCCACGATACTAGTTGTTTGTTCCGATTGTCCCACAATAAAGGTTATGATTGTCCCATCTCAAAAGCTCTGATTATCACACAAGAGTTCTTTTTGTCCAACGACACGAGATCAGTTCAGATCATGTCCCTCGGGGGAAGGGTTGGGCTACAGTATGTAATTCAAAGTTTTTCATAGAATATATAGGAAAAATTCTCTCAAAATCTTCGTCTCAAGAACTACTGGGTCGGTGGTGGAACGATAAAGATCCCTCATTGCTCAATTGCCCTGAGTGCCGAGTATATAGGTCTAAATTTGCAGCCCTCCACTGGCCAATTGTGGCGTCTCCATATGAGTGAAAAATTCTCGAGAGGGACGTTAAACAACCAACAAACAAACAGAAACAAAATCAATTTTGTTCAAGTCATGATCCCAGGGGTAGGGTGAGGCCACAATGGGTGATTAAGTTTTACATAGGAATATATAGAGAAATTCTTTTTTTAGTTCAGTTTTGAATATTTTTAATATTCCAAACAACCAAAATGAATTTGAATTACCATATCTATATTGGATTCCGAAACTTCATAAAAATCCTTACAAACAAATATACATAGCGGGTTCTAGTAAATGTTCAACCAAGCCTCTTTCTTTACTCCTCACTAAGATATTAACAGTAGTGAAGGAGAAACTTCAAGAGTACTGTGCAACAATATATTCGAGAAGTGGTGTAAATCAGATGTGAATACTTAAAAATTCCAAGGAACTTTTGGAAAATTTGAAAACACAAGATTTTACCAAAATCAACAGCTTAAAAACTTACGACTTTTCAACTTTATACACAACCGTTCCCCACGATAAATTAAAGTCCAGGTTTTTTGATATCATTGACAGCTGCTTTTTCAATAAAAATGGAACTCGTAAATTTACTTACCTTGTCATTGGACATTTGCAAAATTATTTTGTTAAAAAAACATTCTGATTGTACACACAAGTACTCTGAAGTTGACATTAAAAAGATGATTGAGTTTCTGATTGCCAATATCTATGTGGTTTTTGGAGACCAAGTCTTCCAATAATCTATTGGAATTCCCATGGGTACCAATTGCGCCCCGTTATTAGCAGACCTTTTTTTGTATTCATTTGAAGAAGAATTTGTCCAAAATCTTGTACGTGAAAAGAAGAAAACACTTGCTGTGGCCTTCAGCTCGACATTTAGATATATCGACGACGTATTGTCAATTAACAATGATTATTTCCATTTTTATGTTGATACGATATATCCCGGTGAGCTTGGGATAAAGGATACCACAGAATCTGACACATCTGTTTCATATTTGGATATTTTACTTGAAAAAGACGTTAATGGTAATCTAACAACCAAGCTTTATGATAAACGTGATGACTTTAACTTTTCAATCGTCAACCTCCCTTACTTATGCAGCAATATACCTTCATCACCTGCATAGGGGGTTTATATCTCTCAGTTGATTCGATACGCAAGAGCATGCTCTACGATTATACAATTTCTAAAACGAGGTAAATTATTGACAAGCAAGTTGATGAAACAAGAATATCAGCAGCCTCGTTTAAAGTCATCATTTCGTAAGTTCTATGGTCGATACAATGACCTTGTCAGCAAATACAATTTATCATGGAGTCAAATGCCGACTGACATTTTTCATACTAATTGTGAGGCCATTATTTACACATTGAATTGTCGACGGATTTTCCGTTATTTCCCGATCATGACAAGGAGCATACGGCAGGTGTGACCGGTCGGCAGGGGATGCTTACTCCTCCATGGCACCTGATCCCATCTCTGATGTTTTTGAGGTCCGTGTTTGCTCTGCTCCTATTTTGTATTGTTTAATGGACTTTAGAGCTTGAATACTGTTCGTTATCTCCATATATTTCGTTAAAAATCTTCTCAAGAACCAAATGCGGGTCTAGTACTGGCGCACCGCCCCTCGTTTGATATTTTACTGGCTTTTATAAATTCTGTTTGTTTAATATGTATATTCTAAACCCCCATCCCCCCCCCCCCGGTTCTGAAGTTTCTTAATCCACCACTGAGAACAGGAGTAGGCCCGTGATTAGTGATGTTTTATGGAAACATCCTCAGGTAGTGTAGATTCAAGTATCTTCAAATCATGATCCCCGGGGCTAGGGTGGGGCCATTTTGGGCGATCAAATTTTTTACACAGGAATACATGTATATAAGAAAATTCTTAAAAATCTTCTTCTCAAAAACAGCATAGCAATGATTAATCATATTTATATGGAAACATTGCCATGCATTTTCATACGACATGTGCATGTACTGATGGACGACAATATGCACAGAGAGGGTAGATACATATTGTCATTGGCGACAATATGAAAAGGACGGCAAAATGTACCGTCACAATCACGCTATATGAAATAGCATACGAGACACTTAAGTGTGACTTACACACCAATAACATTCACAAAACTACCATAAAAAACAACAAAAAAAAATCTTTAAGCAACAAGGTCTGTGGGGCGACATTATGTGCAGCGAGGGTAAGGCACATAATGTCGCCAGCGACAATATGTACATATGTAACCTTTCAGTCGGCGATAATATGTACCGATGGCCGTCAATATGTGCAGTGAGTGTAGGTACATATTGTCGCCGACGACAATATGTACAAAACGACAATAAGTACCGTCACACACCTTCTATCTCATAAACTCTCCTGGTCACTGATACCAGTAGAGCTAAAAATGTTTTCCATATGTTACCTGTTATATTTTGAAAGAAACATTCAATAACAAGTCAGTGTTAAAAATTTGTAACATTTAATTCATAAAACATCAACAATATAACATCACTGCGTTGACAGTGATTAGGATAACATGTCAATTCATTATTAAGCTCCAATATGCAAGAATATCTTGCAAAAAGACTCCACATGTAGTGAAAAAATGCAATACTAAGTGAAACATCACTGTATGCAGTGTATTTGACAAATTATTTATAAAACAACAAAGTGACTATTTTCATCCGCTTTACGCAGTGTATTTAACAATTTTTTTTTATAAAACAACGAAATGACTATTTTCATCCGCAACTTCAAAAAAAGCTTTCATATAAAATGTGCCTACAATACTAACAGTGGAGTACATGTGTACCTACAACTGAGTCAAAGTAGCTATCTATATTGGTAGCAGCGAAAAAGTAAAGATTATTGGGTGAATTGGTTCTGAAATTTTCATAAATGGAGAATTATTCGACAAATTTTGTTTATGGTTCACTTTATCATAAAGCACTGACTTAACAGTTCAAAGCAGTAGTCTAGTACTGAATAAATATGGATTATATATGACACCAAAAACCAACACTTAATACTCATTCACACAAGTATCATTAAATATATGGTTAAAAAAAGTTTTCTCATAAAACCAAGAATAAACTCTAGATTTTAGGGTGTCACAGCATAGTAATCGTCACGAATCTTTTCTGACAGATGTACAAGATTTATTAAATAAGTTCCACTATAATAGGGTACCATATACTCGAATTTTTTAGCAGGATACTGGTGTACTTTAGAAGTTTTGTAGTAACCCACTAAAATTTTAACAACTAAATTTGCATCCTTGTGTATAAGTACTGAATACTAGAAAAACAAGTGACCAGTCTGTTGTTAAACATGTCTGTCATCTGGTACTGGATTTGACTTAAAACTTCTGATTAAATCAGTATTGAAACATCTATTAAACCTACTGAAAACTCATCTAGAAGATGGACTTTCTTTTTGCAGTATCATGGAACTCTGTTTCCCCCCAAAATAGCTCCACTAAAATTATTGGCATACCTTTGAGCAATCAAAATGTTAAAGTTTACACCCAAGAAACCTGTTTTACAGTATCATATTGAAGAAAAAAATTGTGGGCCTGTGATGAGAACAAAAAGAAAGTTAACAATTGTAATCATAAGAGTGTCTAATCATAGTGAGGGTCATGACCTATAGACAATTATAAGCATCACAGTAAGGGTTATGACCCTTCTGTTAAATTTTAAAACAATGGCTGCCTTATCAAGATAAAGAGAAAAATTAGTATACTAAAACAATAAATATGCACAGATTATATGCCAAATGGCTAAGGGACATAGCTGTTATGGTTTTTTTTATATACTCCTAGTTCTAAGTTTATTTTTAAAATGCAGAAGAAAAAAATTACTGTTGGAAATCATCAATCAGATAATGTTTGGATTCTAAAGCAATACTCAACACAAACAGAAATTAGACAGAATATATACAAAAGCTTCTTCATTGGCTAAAAAAAAACATTTTTTTTTTAAATGTAACATTACCCAAATATTGTAATAAGCGTATTCAATATATTTTATATTTGAAATATAAATACAATCTATGTGTCTTATAAGAAAATCATAATTTTCTAAGAGAGAAAATATAGCACCTTACTAATTGCCCACATAAAACGATACCAATACATGTATCAATTTTATAATGGCTCAATCAACATAGTGAAAAAAGCTGCTACTGAAGAAATATAGATAGAAATGATATATGGAAAAAAACCATGGACTGTGGCTTAAAACATATCAATTAGGTTAGTCCCCTTTTGTAGAAAAGATCTTTAACATGAAAAACAAGATGAGTTTTTGAAACACTGATGCCCCCGTATGGCAGCTCAAGGCCAAGGTTAAAACTTTTTTCAAATGTAGGTTTCATTTCCAGGTCAAGGTTAAGAGGTCAAAAGTGTTATTTCTCTAAGAAAGGTCTTGTCACAAGGAATAAATATCTGAAATATGAAAGCCCTAGCTTAAATCTGTCATAAGTTATGGACAGGGTTAAAGTTTTTGCAGACAAAAAGACAAACAGATTAGCACACAAACAGACAGCTAGAAGGACAGGTAGACCAAAAACTATAAGCCCCCAAATCTTCGATTATGGGGGCATAAAATATTCAACATCTGTACATTAAAAATTTACAAATTTACATACTACAGCAACTTACAAGTATCAATGTTAACAACTGTTCCATGAATAACCTTAATAACAGATAACTCCATAGAACAACAATTAATACTACAAACAATTTTTTTTTTTATAAAAGTAACAGTAAAAAATATAATTTTCTCCTAGTTGACAATCTCTGGAATGCCCAACATCCTGTCTTTATTGGAACTGCTGCCCGACAAACCACATGGCTGGCTAAGTGGCGACTGAGGCATCGCAATGTAAGGCCCGTCAAAATTGACCGGGATACTAATAGGATGATAAATAGAATTTTTACCAGACTCCTTCTTCGGAAAAATGTTGTCGAGAAATGAAGGATGGATGCAGATGGGGAGATAATGAGTTCCATCAGGGTTTAACACAAAGGCTGGCAATGGAATGTTACTAGACTGACAATCACTTCCAGAAGAGCTGCTATGAACAGAACTAGTTTCACTACTGTGGGGGCGAGGCTTGTGACGCAGGTACTTCCTCCTCATTTTTTCATCTTCCCGCGAACTGCTGGAGGAAGTATCGCTAGAGGGTGTCCCCAGGTGATGATGCTCCCTTTTCTCGTCCTGGGAGAACCGCTTCATGATGTTGTGTTTTAATTTATAAGCATGACTTTCCTTAGAACTTCCATTATGACTACTGTCTCTATCAGAATCAGTGGAATGACTTAATTTCTCTGTGGAGTGACTGCTGATGGAGTAAGACCCCTCGGTCTCCTCACGACCCTGTGCCTGGTGCCCCTCGGGATTCCTCGTGGACATAGGATACAGATAGGACTCCTCAGAAATGTTTGACCCACTGTAAGAGTGGCTAGAACTGCTGAAAGAACTCGTGGAGGGTTCTTTGGGTAAAAGGAGAGTCCTCAAGAAACGATCCTGGTTGTTACTGGGTGTGGCCTCTGGAAGGGCTGATCTAGGGGGGGCCACCTGGGGCTCAAGCATCAAAGTACTGGAACTCTGATTGCTATTTGTGTCACTAATTACGATCTCATCAGATTTCATGGGTCTGGCATGATCTAAAGAAATCAAACATAACAGATTAACAAAAATTTCTTCATGTCTGTAAAACATCCGTCTCTAGTACTTCAAACATTTTATCACCAGAAATGTGTCTACACATTCTTTATTTTTTCTTAGATTGAATGTCTTTAATACTGGGTTTCAACTCAGGATTAAATCAATTAAACATATATTGCTGCAGAACAGTTTAATCATTTACTACATGTACATTCTTAAGTTTAAATGGACAGTGATATATCTTAGACTTATTGGAACGGATGAAAAACCAAGGTATCAAAAGACTCAAATTTATAATACTATCAGAACCATTGACCTTTTCAAAATAAACCCTTTAATTGATTAAACATGCGGGTGTCTCTGATATGGAATTATACCGCCTTATCCTCCAAACTTTGTTTGGAGGATAACCTAACCTTCCTAACTCCACAAAAAAACATATACCTTTGACATGTTTGGGGAGGAATTTCTGACTGGCCTGCTCCAGATGTTTTCCGATGTTTATACACACTGGGTCCTTGATGTCCCGACCCTCAAACTCCACATAATACCTCATCACTTCATCCTGACACTCCTTGAAGCCCATGTAGAATTTATCCTCACAACAAGCCCGGCCTGCACCATCTACCTGGAAATTCTCCAAATGCCCACCTGTATAAGTAAAGCAGGTACATAATGATATCAAGGAATTAATCAAATGCAGACAACAGATTACTGTGATTTTCCTGATGATGCTTTCAAAATCACTCCAGACGCCTCTAATTTTGAACATCTATACTTCTTTCATTCATATAAAATATAGGGCTTTGCTATAAGTTTGATCATTTTGTGTGTGTGCAAGACAGCGGCTCAAAAATCATCATTATTTATATTCGGTTACATTTTTAGATAAAACAGCTTGTTTATAATAATCCTTTCTTTTTGTGTATGTGTGAGAGAGAGAGAGGGCTCAAAATCATCAATATATTTTGTTACATTTATGAATAATACATCTTGTAAAGATTCTGAAGACTTGCTTTGATGAAGAATATAAATATTTTGTTTAGGTGACGTTGAGCTTACCATGGAAATTGTTGAGATTCTGTAGATGCCTTATATGCTTTGATGCCATCTCTATAATCTCTGTCTTCTCGATCCTCCCCTGACCCTGAAAACAAATCAGTAACACAATGAATTATCCTTAACAGGAATAACCCCTTCACATTAATTTTCTGCTTAAAGTTTAAAGTTCACTGCAGAAAATTCAGGGACAAAACCACTCCAACTACAAAAAAATCACAACCCTGTGGTTTCAACAGCAAATGTACATAATTATGTTTCATAGTAAAAAATTTAAAAAAAAAAAAGGGGGGGGGGGGAACAATCTTTCTCTTCAATTCCGCATTTTATTAGATTTCGCTTAATTCTGTAGACCTACTACCAGTGAATATACCTCCCTCTCAATTTGTTGCCCTTAATTAGTCCTTTGTTTCTGACATAACTAGCATGCCCCACCTAAGAAATTTAGTTGGACCTGCAAAACATAATTTCTCATTTTTTTCAAACATATCTTGATTCACCCAAGGTAATACTTTTGATTTATTATAATTCTCCACAACTGCTTGACTGCGATAATTTGCCTATCATACTTAGTATAATTTTTTCCTCCTTTTTTGAGATAAATTGTTTTATATTAGAAATAATTTTCCTCCCCTTTTGTTGCTCACTATCATGCTTTACCTGAGATATTGAGACTAACCTGCTTGAGATAATTTGCTGGGATCAAACGACTGAGTTCCGCCAAGCAGTTGTTCATGCGATCTCTCCGCCTCTTCTCTATAATGCGGTGGGACATCGGGTCCTGTGAGATGTAAATATTCATTATTATAACAAATTCTTTAGTAAACAGTGCTTGTTAAGTTGCACAAACAAGTACATAAAAGCATGAAAAAGATTTTATCTTAAATTTTCAAAAGAAGCAAAACCAATGCATGTTACTGGTTAGGCAATTGATTATGAAAGTACCAATGGCCCAAAGTAGGTCAACATGACCTACAAGTTTTAACACACTCTGAAAACCCAAGATGCATCAACTGACAAAGTTTGATGAATTTAAGCCCATTATTTTCTTAAATATTAGGATATAGTCTTAAAATGCCAAAAGTAGGTCACAGTGACCTACTTTTTGGTTGACACACTTTGAGGACCCAAGATGCATCAAATGACAAAATTTGATGATCCTATGCTTCAAAGTGTCCAAAATATGCCTCTAAAACAATTTGAAAATGAATACCTGTAAAATTCAAAAAGTAAAGTCACTGTGACGTACGTTTTGATAAATATGTTTTAAGGCTCCAAAGTGCATCCATGTACAAGGTGATTCACAAGGTGAAGTGACATTGAAACCATGCCCTTTGCCCCAGGGTGATGCCTTGAACAACTTTTAATCTACAACATATTTTCATCCTTGTACGTAGGTTTGGTGATAATCTGCCCAGTGGTTCTTGAGAAGAAGATTTTTTAGCAACCACTTCATTTGTTTTTGTTTCTCAAATTATCTCCCCTTGTTTAAGGGACACAACTCTAGTTTTGTCCAAGGATACTCTGTACAAAAATTTGAAAAAAATGACTAAGGGTTCTTGAGATATGGCCCATTTTCCAGAAAATTTATGCACACTGCACAAATGGCCATTTGTGCAGTGGCCATAGCTCAGAAGAGCTAAATACAGTTACACAGTGAGTCATCCCCTAACATATCATTTTTTTCCAAAAACACAGTTTCTCAAGTGCTAAATTGACATGATCTTTATATATTATCATAACAAAATTAATATCAATCACTGGCCTTGACCTTACAGTTTCTCTTTTCATTTGTCATCTATTACCTCTAAGTGGTGTCTCTGAAACAGAGTATCCAATCTTTCTTGTTTGAAAACTTAAAATTTTTGTCGTGGCACTTGACCATATTTTTTACCCGAATAAGTCACTTTCTACTGCCACTATGCCTCTCTGTAAACAAGCATGCCTATCCCTGTCTATGACCTTGACCTTTGGTATACTGACTCTTGAATGATATTCCCTCCTCTGTCCACTATGTGTTTCAAGTACTAGATTTGAGCATTAGCCTTAGCTGAGACCCAATTACTGCCTTACACCTATTGTTGAAATTTGATCCACATAACCTAGCTCTGGCTTTTATGCTGCACCATGGCAAATATAACACTTTAAAGGGCAGCTACTATATTTCCCTAAAATGATTGATTCAGTGAACAAATATTTTTGTACAGGTCTACATATATTTTTTTAAATATAATAGCACATTTTTCATGCTTTACATGTATTGACAAAACTAATGGCACTATTACCCTTGGGACTTTAGGTTTCTTCACACATTGCAAATCAAACTCATCTGGGTTGATGGCAAAGTTCAAAGGTCTGAAATGAAGCAATCAAAATTAGAATTTTGTAGCATTGTTTTTTAAACATCAGCACAGACCCCTTCTGAGATATCATCCCCTACCATCACAGTACAACTCTGATGACATGTCTATTCATCACAATCATAACATACCAAATGTCCCAATTCATCCCATTAACATTTCTTACTTTCAATATAGCAACTCTTTTACAACTATTTTTTGTAAGGCTGACAATGGAAATTATACATATTTATGTCAGAGCTACAAAGTTTAGGTCAAGACTCAGACTATCTAGTTTAGCTCAGGGCTATCTATCTAAGCTTAGCTCAGGCCTACCTAAGTTTAGCTCAGGGCTATCTATCTAAGCTTAGCTCAGGCTTACCTAAGTTTAGCTCAGGGCTATCTATCTAAGCTTAGCTCAGGCCTACTTAAATGCGTGTCTACGAGAAAACCATGCAAAATCCAAATTTTATTATGAAAGGCATTGTGATCATTTTGACTGATTTTATTGTTTCTGATTAGCATCATGTGTCCTCTAATAAATCCCAGTATCAAAACTGTCAGGTACCTTTGGGGATCCCTATTATAGCCCTACATTCTATTTTTAGCACATTTTATGAAAATATTTTGAAAAACACCCATAGATTAAGAGAAAAAAATTGCAGGAAAAAATGCACTTTTATTCAAATGTTACATATTAAATAAATTTAAAGGAAGTGCTCTAACTAGAAATATTGTATTTAATTTCATTTATCAACACTGATTCTGTAAAAGTGGGGTCTAAAATTAGATTAAATCAATGTGTTTAAAATACCACTATCTTTAGAATGCTGTAAAAACCCAAGAAACGCTTAAAACATTATAAATATCAGTTTAATTGCAAAAATCCTTCAAAATCAATATATAGTTAAAAGGAATTTGGTTGCAAATGGCATTATGCTAATTTAAAAATAGATTGAAGTTGGCTGAAACTATTAGAAAAATTATCTCCCTTAGTGGAACTCTCCTTATTTAAAGGAATTAAAAGTGTGATGTCTTAATGGCAGACGAAAAGATGAAGTGTTGATTTGAGGACAATATTATGATAAAAGATCTCTAGCTTTGTTGAAAGATTGTAAAATAGATTCAGTTGAATATACAAGGTATTTTAAATGCAGCACATAAGACATTTCTGTCCGTGAAACGCTTCTTATCGTTAACCATCTTGAACCATACAGCTGTTATGGGACTTGGACAGTCTAATTTCTGTAAACATACCTACATGTACATGTATGTGTCAAACACAGAAATATACTTGGTCTACACTGGAAAAGGAAAAAAGAACATGTTGTCACCCATACCTGATAGGGGAGACGCTATTATGCAAACCCGTTAACCGAGAGGGTCAAGCTGAATGAGGTTTTGCCTGTTGGAACTGGTAAGAACATTATGCAGTTTAAAAACTTAAGAAATTTTGCTAAACCATTGAAATTAACTTAATTTCTGACCTTAAAGTTTTCAGAGAGACACTGTACATGATATTTGGGTTGTCAATAAGAAATGAAACAGATTTATAAAAAAAAAAAAAAAGCATGTTGGGGGTTCCTCCCCTTAGTGAGGGTTGAGAGGGCAATACCAGAGTAATTGGGGAATTATGTCATTATAGGTGAAGAAATTCCCCAGTCCCACAGGTCTTAAGGACAACCCTATACATGTAAATATAATATCACAAAGTGATATCATAATTGGAAATATTTACTGACTTTGTGTTTATAGTTTGTGAAAACCTATTGATATCAAGTTTATACATTTTACATGTCCAATCTATAATGATTTATATCTATCAACTAATTTGATTCCTAATTGTTACAGGTATATGCAAAAGATGTATAGAAACACACTTTAAAAAATCAGTATGGAAGTAAAGCTGAAGGAAGAGCTTAAAGGTACATATACATATACTGTGTGTTTATAATTATACGTAAAAGTTTTATCAAATTATTTCTAAAATTTACTCAGTAACTTATACATCAAGTTTCACTTATGAAGCAAAATTACCTGCTTTTATTATGTTATAGCTGAAATACATGTAAAAAGTGAAAACTCTTGAGCAGCAGTCCACTTGCTAATTCTTGTTCTCATTTGAGTATATTTAGTACTCACATAAATTAAGGATTCTACAGTAAATGTTGATGAATGGCTTTTACACTCAATAGTTTCATAATCTTGATCATTTCACATGTAAATGATCCGATCCTGTTTGGAAATAAAATTTCAATTGCATATTGTTTTGAATTAGTTCTAAAAATAAAATCTCAAGTGTGATTTCTGTTTCATTTTATGTGTACATAACTGGTTATAAGTATTCATGTAACTATGAGGATTATTAAGTATTGTATAGTTAATATTAAAATTAATGTTTATTCTTTAGCAGAAATGTGTTCCTATTGACAAGGCAACAATTGAATCAAACCAAACAGGTGATCACTTACTGTAATATAATATAATATTTTTAAGGTTCTACATAATAATAAAGATAATGTCAATGTTTAATATCTCAAAAAATAAAATTAACAAATATGTTTCATTTCCACACTGAAAAATATAACCAAGTGGACATTGTTCTCATGCAGTTCAATGACATGAACCAGAGTTTGTACATGTGGTTAACATTTTATAATGTATACATACAAGTTACTATAATCATGATAATATACATGTAACTGCTCATTCACATTACTGATAAGTAAAATAACAAAGAACAGTTTATGTGAAGTAAGGTCTAAATGGTGAAGATGCCTGAATATGTGACTGATAAACTGAAAAGTCCAGTCCATATAGTTCAAGTTTTGAGCTTTAAAATTATTTAATTATGATTCATTCAAAATGTTTCAGCATTAGCCTTTTTAGCATTAACTGTAATGTATAAGGGTATATATACTTCATGGCTTTTTCAATTATTTTACAGAGCAAAGAGTGGAGGAAAATGGAAGAAGTCATGGACTTAACAGAAAACATATGACCTAATACCTGCAGGTAACAGCCCCCCCCAACCCCCCCAACCCCCCCAATAAATGTTTATTGGTCTGTCCATTGGTCATTCTGTCTGCACATGTATGTACTATAACACTTTAATTTGGGAACAATATCTCTTAAAGCCTTTGAGCTTTTGCAATATCATTTCATATCACAACTCCTTACAGCCTAGAGAAGATCCCTATTGGTTTGAGGTCAAAAGGTCAAGGTTGGAAATTCCTACAATACAAAAAAAACTCAAATAATAACTTTAGTTTCCCTTGAGCTTTTTCTGTTAAATTTTATATCATAATTCCCAATGACTTAAAGAAATCCCCTTTGATTTCAAAGTTAAAAGGTTTAGTTGAAAAATTCATATCTTGCAATAAATAATGTCCTGGTGATAACTTTGGTTCTCTTTGAGGTCTTGAATTTATTTCTTTAATAAAAAAAGACACCAATTGACTTTAAGGCCAAAAGCTGAAAGGTTAAGGTTGACCTTTTTCTTTTTCCATCTGCATTTTTTTTTTGGTCCAGTTCTTCCATCCTCATTTTTTTCCATAAGTGGGGGCCACAATTCTCTGAATTAGCTTGTTTTATATTTGCATTGGATCATGTGCAGGTTTGCATTAAACTCAATTAGCCATTTAAGGGATTTGGATCTCTTACAAAATAGGAAATAAAGGTGATTCAGGCTAGCATTGCCAAGGTCCCTTTGTTGTAAAATTGAAATTATTCCCTAATTCCCAATGTCATTTAGAACATCAAAATACATGCTCTTTTGCTTTTGGGTATAAATGAAAATTTACTGTACTAAAATGTCTTCTTTGATTATCATAATTATTGCAATATCAATTATGAACTTTAATTCAAACATCAATTTGTCATTGCTTTTACAGATTTTGAATTCATATCATCAGTGCATATAAATTGGTCAAAAGATGAAAGATCTCAGCATAAATTGTTCAATCATGCAAAGCATATCCTGTCAAATGGAGATTACCCTCCCTTAAAGTGTCAAGTATCTCAGAAATTGGACTATTTGCAATGCTGTTCAGGAATATTTTACAGTCAGTACATTTAGCAATAGGGCCTGTTGCACCATGCCAAGGTACAGAGTTGATGCTTCAAGCTGTCGACGGCATTCCAAAGGAAAAGGATGAAACTTTTTTTTAGCTTACCTGAGCCGAAGGCTCAAGTGAGCTTTTCTGATCGAAATATGTCCATTGTCTGTCGTCGTCGTTGTCGTGGTTGTAAACTTTTCACATTTTCATCTTCTTCTCAAGAACCACTGTGCCAATTTCAACCAAACTTTCCACAAAGTATCCTTGGGTAAAGGGAATTCAAGTTTGTTCAAATGAAGGGTCACACCTTCTTCCAAGGGGAGATAATCATGAATTTGTGAAAAATTGATGGCATCACCTAAAAACTTGTCAAGAACCACTGTGCTTGAAAATATGAAACTTATATGGAAGCATCCTCAGGTAGTGTAGATCCAAGTTTGTTCAAATCATGACTTCCAGGGGTAGGGTGGGGCCACAATGGGTGATCAAAGTTTTACTTAGGAATACATAGGAAAAAGCCTTTAAAAATCTTCTTCTCAGAAACAGCAAAGCCATGATTGATCATATTTAAAAGGAAGCATCCTCAAGTAGTGTAGGTTCAAATTTGTTCCAATCATGACCCCCGTGAGTAGGGTGGGGCCAGAATGGTTGATCAAAGTTTTGCATATAATACATGTACATAGGAAAAATTTGTAAAAATCTTCTTCTCAAGAACAGCAAAGCCATGATTGGTCATTTTTATATGGGTGCATCCTCAGGTAGTGAAGATTCAAGTTTGTTCCAGTCATGACCCCCCCTCCCCCCAGGGGTAGGGTGGGGCCACAATGGGTGATCAAAGTTTTACATAGGAATACATAGGAAAAAGCCTTTTAAAATCTTCTTCTCAAGAACAGCAAAGCCATAATTAGTCATATTTAAATGGAAGCATCCTCAGGTAATGTAGACTCAAATTTTGTTC